TAATGACTTAGCCACTCCCAGTCTCTATTTAAGCCTAAATTAATAGTATCCAATTTGCAAATGAATTCCAATTCAGCAGTTTCTCGCTGGAGTCTGGATTTGAAGTTTTTTTGTTTTAAGATAGCGACCTTCATGTCTGTGATTGCGTGACCAGAGAGATTGAAGTGTTCTCCGACTGGTTTATGAATGTTATAATTCTTGACATCTGATTTGTGTCCATTTATTCTAGTTAGTCTAATGACTCATCCACTCCCAGTCTTTATTCAAGCCTAATTTAATGGTGTCCAGTTTGCAAATTAATTCCAGTTCTGCAGTTTCTCATTGGAGTCTGTTTTCCCTGGACGAAATGACCCAGCCATTTGCTTTCCTTTGGTCACTTATTGTTCAAGAAACATGTGAAGATTATGCGTCACATTTAAGTTTTTCTAACTACCTAGTAGCATCTTTCATCTTCCCTGTGACTAGTTAATGCTAATTTCCCTGCCACTAATTCAGTGGTTCCCAAACTTTAACCACCAGTGAACCCCTTTCACTAAAATGTCAAGTCTTGCAAACCCCCTCCTAAAAATGAATATTTCCAGGGATTTTCTTCTTTACCTGAGTATAAATTATAAAAGCAGTGATCTTGGAAATATAAAATTTGTTTTTATGCCATGCTTATTACACATTATTTATTATTATTATTATTTATCATTACAGTATTTTTATTACATTATGAAAACAGAAACACTCTTCGAAGATTTCACTTTCGGAGCTTGTATCACTTTGAAGAAGCCTGTTAGAAGACCAGGCTGCTGTGTTTCATCCAGGAGTGTCCGATGTGAAACCGCAGGAAGGGATTTAAGAAGCCAACTCAAAGAGTTCCCCCTACACAAGCATCCAGGTCTTGAGCAGTCCAGGCAAACAAACAAAGCTGAAACTTGTGCTTCGTAATAATTTAAAAAACAACACAAGCTGCCTATTTAATTTTAGAAAAAGCAAAAAATATCTACCTCCCTTTCTATTTCTTATAAGGAGTCTTGAAGTTTAAATCTCCTCAGTGTGATGGATATGTTTGCTTTGATCTGCTTAGCTCTTGGAAGTCCAGGGGCTCCGGGGTACTGGCCCTATACTGCCTGGGGTTCCTAGGACAATTCTGTCCACCATTAGGGAATTTTTTTCCCCCGAGAACCCCCTTGTAGTAGGGTGGACACCCACTCAGGCCCAGAGGGGTTTAAGATAGCCTTGGGAGAGGGTTGGGGCAGGGGAAGAGCTGAGCTGATTGGCAGAGCAGCTGCAGCTGGGGGCCACACCCCAAACAGACCCAGCGGGCCTTATAAAAGCCAATGAAGCCAAGAGCAAATGAGTACCCTCCCCCCCCCTTCCCTGACAGACCTGGCTGCAGAGACCTGAATAGAGAACCCAGTTTGGAGTAGAGCTGGGGAAAGCCCCAGGCTGTAGGCCTGGAAAGGCCTATTAGGTATAGGGGTTGCAGGGGCAGCCTTATTGGGATCCAGGAAGAGGCAGCAGGTCTAAAACCAACCTTGCCGGCAATGAGTGGCTCACGCTGCAGTCTGCCCCAGGGCACGGGGGCTAGCTGGTGACTAGCAGGAGCCTCTGACTGAGGTGTGGGGGGGGTTCCCCTGGGAGGGGGAGACCCAGAACTGGGGGGTACTGCCAGGGGGCAGTATGCAGTGAAAAGGGCACTGGGGTCCTGGGAGGGACATGGGAACCAGCAGCAAGGCAAGACACCAGCCTGAAAAAGGCGCTCCGGAGGCTGGAATGTTAATTCCCTGAGATGACCAGCAGGAGGCGCTGCTATGAGTCTGCATCCGGTTACACCCCTGTAACATTTTGCAAACCCCCAGGGGTTCATGAACCCCAGTTTGGGAACCCCTGGACTAATTCTAAGGTAAAAACAGAGTCTGCTTGGGCAGCCATAGCACGTCCCCTTGAGCCACACCGATCCTCTGCCAGCCAAGCCTATGGCTGCCAGGAGATGCCCGTGTCTCACGAGACGTGTGCATTTCACTCTTTGGTGTGTCATTAGCTCAAGCTGACAAGAAGCAACAAAGGTTAGCTCCAGTAACTTTCCCAGTACTGCATCCCCAGGGGGCAAAAGGTGCCCGGCACTAGCAGATATAAATCCCAAGGGCTGAGATCAGTTATGGGAGGATCAGAATGACCATTTGAGCCCTAGACAAATGATCTTATAAGAACCAGATGATTTTGGGGGATTGTATCTCAGGAGCTCTGTGCTCAAATGACCCCAAATCTGGATCACTAATCCCAATCTGCATCCCCATGAGGCACAAAAAAAGTCACGCCTATCCAAGTTAGCAGATGGATTTTGGAGCATTTGGAATACTTATTCAGCAAGCAAGTCCTAGACACCTGTAGCAGAACTGTCAGGGTGCTATAATTAATCCTGGCTCAGAGAACATAGACATGCGATCCTGCTGCATGCCTCTTGCAGCTGCACAAGCCAAGGTTGAGCCAGGCACCTCCCGGAGCAGACGGCGACAGGAGTGAGCGACTGGGCTCCCAGCTGCACAACACAAAGTGCCACACGTCCAGCGTAACCAAGAACTGAAGAGCTTTTTGAGCAGAAACACCCCTCCCCAGCAAAACATTCCCAGGTCCTTCCTGGATTAAATTAACATCACTTCTCTGGCACCAGCCAGGCTTCACCAAGGGCCACTTCCAGGGGTGGCAGGTTTGTAGAAATTTTGGTGGTGCCCAGAACCTGCCCCTGTCCAAACTCCGCCCCACAAACTCCACCCCTTAGCTGCACAAGGCTCTGGGGTGGGGGGACTTTGGGTGGTGGAGGAGGTCTGGGGTACAGGCTCTGGGAGGGAGTTTGGGGATGGGAGGGGGTGCAGGGGTGAGGCTGCAGATGAGTCTCTCTAACCCCCAAGCCCCCCAGCCCCAGACAGAGCGCTCACCCCCCCGCTCCTTTTGGAACACATGACTTATGAGGAGAGGCTGAGGGAACTGGGATTGTTTAGCCTGCAGAAGAGAAGAATGAGGGGGGATTTGATAGCTGCTTTCAACTACCTGAAAGGGGGTTCCAAAGAGGATGGCTCTAGACTGTTCTCAGTGATAGCAGATGACAGAACGAGGAGTAATGGTCTCAAGTTGCAGTGGGGGAGGTTTAGATTGGATATTAGGAAAAACTTTTTCACTAAGAGGGTGGTGAAACACTGGAATGCGTTACCTAGGGAGGTGGTAGAATCTCCTTCCTTAGAGGTTTTTAAGGTCAGGCTTGACAAAGCCCTGGCTGGGATGATTTAACTGGGAATTGGTCCTGCTTCGAGCAGGGGGTTGGACTAGATGACCTTCTGGGGTCCCTTCCAACCCTGATATTCTATGATTCTATGATTCTATGAGGGGTTTGGGGTATGGGAGGGGCTCAGGGCTCTGTCTGGGGCTGGGAATGAGGAGTTTGGGGTGTGGGAGGGGCTCAGGTGAAAATAGGAGTGGGGGGGTGAGCGCTCTGTCTGGGGCTGGGGGGCTTGGGGATTAGAGAGACTCAGGGCTAAGGCAGAGGGTTAGGGTGCAGGGGGATGAGGGCTCTGGCTAGGACAGGGAATAAGGTGTTGGAGGGGCTCAGGGCTAGGGTTGAGGGTGTGGTGGGGGGGTGTGGGCTCTGGGGTGGGGCAGGGCTGGGGATGGGTTTGGGGTGCAGACAAGCTGCTCTATGACAGGAGCCAGAGAGGACTCCCCCAGCCCTTTCCCTGCCGGCTGCAGTGAGCTCTGGGGGAGAAGCCCCCCCTCCCCCCCCAGCAGCAAACTCACTCCCACCATTGTCACTGCATGTGCTCCTATGGCCCCTCTCAGGTCCAGGAATCTCCCTCGCCTCCCCTGTGGGGGGTGCTGGGTGCACCTCCTCCCCTCCTGCTGCCCCTCACTGGGGGTGAGGGATGGGGCGGCCCCTTGCCCAGCATGGGGCAGGAGCAGTGACTGCATGCGGGGGGGGGGGGCTGTGCTGGTGGAGGGTCCCGCCAGAAAAGGGAAGGGTCTGAGGGGGAAGGGCAGGCTCAGTCAGTCTGCCCTGGCAGTGGAGCGGGGGGGCACCAGGACCCTGCAGCTGCAAGGAGGCAGCATGGAGCTGCAGGGGGAGGCGCACCGCGGGCAGCAAGCGGGGGCCAGGGGAAGCTCAGGGGAGGCGGAGGGGGGTGGCAGGTGGGGCCGGAGGGGATACCAGACCCCAAATATGTGTGGAGCTGGGCCCCTGGGCTCTGAATATTGCTGGTGCCAAGGCACCGCGTGGAGACAGAACTCGTGCCCCTGGCCACTGTGTCTGGCTGGCTCTGCCAGGACAGGAGGGCCACAGCTGTCTGCAGAAGCAGCTCCATCAGCCACTGTGTCGTTTGGGCCAAACCTTGGTCTACAAAGGCCTTGGTCCCATCTGATGCGGTGCTGGGAGGAGCTGGTGGCAAGTGGCCCCTTCACGCCAGGCAGCAGAGGGGCAGGGAACATGGTTCGTCATGAAGAACAGGAAACTTGGGCAGCTGTGAATTCATCAGGCTGAACTCCAAGCTGGCTCTGCCACACCTCAGTACTAAGAACAACCCAGAAAAGCTTCCAAGGGAGCGCGAGGCCGCTCTGCACCCCCAGTCTGCCCTGTCCATCTGCCCCCTCCCCCAATCGCACCCCATCCATTGCGCCCGTCCAGCCCTGTCATTTTGCTCCGGGTACTCGAGGATTTGTAGGGGAGAAGCATTTCATGTAGCTCCTACGCAGGGGCAGTGTTCCCAGACCTTCGAGACAGAGCTCAGCCCTGCAAAGAGGGGGCAGATTGCTCATTAACCTTTGGGCTCTTGGCCCTTGCCTGCCGCCATGGCCCCAGCGTCCCTCTGTGACTGCACCAGCACCATGTGTTCTGCGGCTGCAGAGCCAGCATGAGGCAGGTCAGACGGCAGCCCCCCGTACGACAAGGAAGGACACATGCCAACCAGGGCATACAAAGACCAGGATTTATTCCAAAATCTCCATAATACACAGCAGGGCCACCGAAAGGCAGGGACCCACCACAGGCTAGCTATAGAGCTTGCTGGCATGGGATGGGTTGGTGCGGGCAGAGGGTGTCTCAGCTGGGAGTACAAAGGGCAGACCTGGCATAGGCCAGGCTGGCATAGGCGGGAATGGCGGGTATGGGGTGGAATGGGCACAGAAGGGCTGGCTTTGGCTAGTGTGAGTGGGGAGGCAAAGCTGACCTGGGCTGTCGCAGGCCGGGCACAAAAATTCAAAGCAGATAAAGAAAAGGATTTAGAGTTGGCTCAATCCAGGCTCCAGGTCCTTAGTAGAGAACGTCCTCAAAGCTGAGCAGCAGGAACTGGTGCAGGGAAGAAGGCAGATGGAGCTTGGGCAAGACCTGCAACAGCCGGCCCTCGAGGTAGCTCCTGAGTGCACAGCGGGCCAGGTGCTGCAGGGAGCGGGGCCTCTGCCCCAGAGAGAAGAGTGACTCGTAGAAATCTGGGTGCTTCTGTCAGGAGAGAAGAGAGAGTCAGCATGGGCCTTGTTTCCTCATGACAGCGGGCCGGTGCCCATACCCCATGTCATGTGACAATGGCAACAAATCATGGGCGGACAGTTTCCGCCAACACTGAACAAGGAGCTCTATTCGCACAGAGGTCACAGCCTTATCCCTACTGCCCTTCGGTTTCTGTCTGTCCCTGTTTCACTTCAGGGCTTCTGCCCAGCACCTTCCCTGCCCCCTCAAAGCTTCAGAGGGTGCTTCTGGGACCTGCCTGGCCAGCCAGGCACTGTGGGGTGGAGCCCCGGGTCCCCGAAGGCTCTTGGTCCTTACCTGCATGATCTCAGCGGGGACAGCCTCTGCCCACTCGTCAGTGACCCGCACGCGGTCATAGCTGTTGATCAGCACCTCGATGGTGCGCGGCGAGGAGCAGCAGTAGTGCAGAACCTGCAGCAGGGAGGGGATGGGAGGAGGCTGGTCTTGTGCACCACACTCCGCCGGCGGGGACCTGACTTGGATTCCCTGCTCTGCTACTGCCTCCCTGTGACCCTGGGCAAGTCCTGTAACCTGTGTCTTTTCCCAGTCTGGGAGGGGCCATGCCCACATGTTGCACATGGTGGGGTGGGGTGGGATGGGCCATGTCTGAGGGTTGCAGGCCTGCAGGTTGTTATGGCAGCAGGAGGGCTCCCCATCCCCTGACGCACACTCCCCATGGCCCAGGCCATCAGTAGCTGTCAGAGCCTATTCCAGCTGCAAGAGTGAGCCTCATTATCTGGTGTTAATAGGAGATTAATTAGTGTTAATTGTTGATTTTCCTGTATTTTCCCAAAGGGGAGAGCAATCTGCAGATCTCCAGGCTGGGTAATTATTGCACTGCTCGGGAATTAAGGAAGATGGTTAACCCTTTGCTTGCTGGTGTCTTGCACAGAGGATGCAGTAGGAGCTGGGGACAATGCCCCACGGAAGGAGAGCACCTCCTAAGGCCAGTGCCAGAGAGACAGGCCAACTTCACCAAGGCGGGACAGCACCTCGTGGGGCCTGGAGATTAATGGAGCTTGGGGGGAGGGCTGTGTGCTTAGCACACAGGGAAGGCAAGAGACCCCTACAGGGAAATATCACTCCACGTGGATCCCCCCTCAATACAACTCCCTCTGCAGCTCCCCCAGAACATGCCTACCCCCAAGTCACCCCTGTTCTTCCCCCACATGTCAATCTCTGTAGGTCTGGGCATGCCACAATCCCTGCCCCAAGCCCTGCCATGCTGCCTCCTTCCTGCTCTGCCTAACCCCTATCATAGCCAGGCAGTGTGGCAGGGGAGGGGGCAGGTCATGGGCAGTTCAGGGTGCACCATGGGAGCTCCTGGTAGGACACTGCTTGCCAGGCAGCTGATACGTTCTGCATCCACTGCAGCGCCTGTCCTAGCTGATCTCAGGTGCACATTGCACTGACCCAGCTTGGCAGTCACAGGGTCTAGCTCATGGTGCCACACTCCCCGGCAGACAGCTTCCCTGCTGCCCTTCCAGCCCAGCTCTCTCTGGGATGAGCCCCAGGCCCTGCCGGAACCAGGCACTGTGAAAGCCTGCACGCTCCCTGCAGAGGGGGCAGAGCCAGGAAGTTGCATGTGGCCAGCACCTGGACATGCTGCCTGCAGCCGGCCTCTCCTCACACCTAGCTCCCCTGCCACCCCTGCGGGACAAAGCCCTCAGGGTGGAGGCTGCTACCTTCAGGGCCATTTGCTAGGAAGGGAGCCCCAGCTGGTGCAACCAGGGGCTGAATGTGATACACCTGCCACCTTGTCCTGCCCTCCATGGCCTTGGTCTAAGAGCACAGGTTCTTCAGAGCATGGCTGGCCTTTCCCATGCACCCTCTGTGCCCCACCTCACCTAAAAGCCTAGGCCCACACAGCCCACACCCACTCCTGAAGAATGAATGGCTGGACTGACTGCACCAGGACTAAACAACTCGAGCCAGGGGACGATGGCCCACAGCCAGAGAGCATCTCCTAAGGCTAGTGCCAGAGAAACAGGATTACTTTCTCTTTCCCAGCCAAGTCCCCACTGCTCACAACACCAGGGCTGGGAGCTCACAGCCCCTCCCCCCGCCCCCCAGACCCTAGTAACCTCAGCAGGGGGCAGCGGTGTCTTACCCCGGTATATACCTAAATGTGGCCATTAAAGGGACACAGCTAGGCCCCTTAATCAGCAGCCCAGCCAGGGAAAGGAACCCAAATGCTGGCACCTGGGGTTGGGGGACCCCAACTGCTGGGCAGCAAGAGGGAACTCAAGCCCCTGAGCCAGCAGGGAACGAGACCTCGACGAGGGGAAGGGGTTCTGCCTGCAGGTGAGGGAAGGCCTCCTGGGAGCCCCCGATCACACACCCCTCCCACGCAGCACCCATCCTGCTGCTGTCCCAGGCAGCTCCACACCTTGATGAGGGCCCCGGGCCAGACGCGTATGGAGCCATGGTTGAGCAGCGCCCGCACCACGAGCTCCGGTCGGTGCCCCAGCTTGTAGGCCGCCACCTGCAGGATGTTATGCATGGCTGTGTTGCCGCTGTAACTCATGATGTTGACATTGGCACCATGGGCCAGGAGCAGCTCCACCACCGGGGCGCTGGCGTTCTTGCAGGCCTGGTGCAGGGGGCGCTGCTGGTCCCGGTCCGCAGCATCGACGTCGGCACCGCTCTGCACCAGCTGCTGGCAGACATGGTAGTAGCGCTCCATGTCCTGGGGTGGGTGTGCCTGGGCGCAGGCGGCATTCAGGGGGGTCTGCCCCTCCTCGTTCTTGGCCTCCAGCCCCGCTCCATGGCGCAGGAACAGCTGGACGTGCTCTTCCAGGCCGTGCCGTGCTGCCACGTGCAGCGCTGTGTCCTCTTCCTCCTCCGTCTGGCTGTTCACGCTGGCACCATACTGCAGCAGCAGCTTCGCACACCTGACAGCGTGGGACACCTCAGCCACGAGTTTCCCCTCCTCTGCCCAACACCTACCCACTATCCCCCCAACTACCCACTGCCCCCGAGCCCCAATCTGCTGTCCCACCCACCCGCTGCCTGCCCGCTACCCCCCATCCCCCCGCCATCCACATCCACCCGCCGCCTGCCTGCTAGCCCCACCCGCCGTTCCCTATCCACCCGCCACCTGCCTGCTAGCCCCACCCGCCGTCCCCTATCCACACGCCGCCTGCCTGCTAGCCCCCACCCGCCGTCCCCCACCCACCCGCCACCTGCCTGCTAGCCCCCGCACTCCCCACCCGCCGTCCCCTATCCACCCGCCGCCTGCCTGCTAGCCCCCGCACTCCCCACCCGCCGTCCCCCACCCACCCGCCGCCTGCCTGCTAGCCCCCGCATTCCCCACCCGCTGTCCCCTATCCACCGGCTGCCTGCCTGCTAGCCCCCGCACTCCCCACCCGCCGTCCCCCATCCACCCGCTGCCTGCCCGCTACCCCCCATCCCCCCGCCATCCACATCCACCCGCCGCCTGCCTGCTAGCCCCCACCCGCTGTCCCCTATCCACCGGCCGCCTGCCTGCTAGCCCCCACCCGCCGTCCCCCACCCACCCGCCACCTGCATGCTAGCCCCCACCCGCCGTCCCCAATCCACCCGCCGCCTGCCTGCTAGCCCCCACCCGCCGTCCCCCACCCACCCGCCGCCTGCCTGCTAGCCCCCACCCGCCGTCCCCCATCCACCCGCCGTCCCCTATCCACCCGCCGCCTGCCTGCTAGCCCCCGCACTCCCCATCCGCTGTCCCCTATCCACCCGCCGCCTGCCTGCTAGCCCCCACACTCCCCACCGGCCGTCCCCTATCCACCCGCCGCCTGCCTGCTAGCCCCCGCACTCCCCACCCGCCGTCCCCCATCCACCCGCTGCCTGCCCGCTACCCCCCATGCCCCCGCCATCCACATCCACCCGCCGCCTGCCTGCTAGCCCCCACCCGCCGTCCCCTATCCACCGGCCGCCTGCCTGCTAGCCCCCACCCGCCGTCCCCCACCCACCCGCCACCTGCCTGCTAGCCCCCCACCCGCCGTCCCCCACCCACCGGCAGCCTGCCTGCTAGCCCCCCACCCGCCGTCCCCAATCCACCCGCCGCCTGCCTGCTAGCCCCCACCCGCCGTCCCCCACCCACCCGCCGCCTGCCTGCTAGTCCCCACCCGCCGTCCCCCACCCACCCGCCGTCCCCTATCCACCGCCGCCTGCCTGCTAGCCCCCACCCGCCGTCCCCCACCCATCCACCATCCCCTATCCACCCGCCGCCTGCCTGCTAGCCCCCACCCGCCGTCCCCTATCCACCCGCCGCCTGCCTGCTAGCCCCACCCGCCGTCCCCTATCCACACGCCGCCTGCCTGCTAGCCCCCACCCGCCGTCCCCTATCCACCCGCCGCCTGCCTGCTAGCCCCCGCACTCCCCACCCGCCATCCTCTATCCACCCGCCGCCTGCCTGTTAGCCCCACCCGCCGTCCCCTATCCACCCTCCGCCTGCCTGCTAGCCCCCGCACTCCCCACCCACCGTTCCCTATCCACCCGCCGTCCCCTATCCACCTGCCACCTGCTAGCCTTCACCCGCCGTCCCCCATCCACCCGCCGTCCCCTATCCACCCACCGCCTGCCCGCTAGCCCCCATCCACCCGCCGCCTGCCTGCTAGCCCCCACACTCCCCACCCATCGTCCCCATCCACCCGCCGCCTGCCTGCTAGCCCCACCCATCGTCCCCCATCCACCCGCCACCTGCCTGCTAGCCCCTGCACTATCCACCCACCGACCCCCATCCACCCCCCGCCTGCTAGTCCCCTATACATCCACTGCCCATCCCTCACCCTTAACCCACCCACCCACCTGTTGTCCCCTACCCACCTACTCACTATCCCCCCCCACCCTCAGCTAGCCCCAGATCCACCTGCTGCCGGCCCTGCCCCCACCTACCTGCCTACCTGGCTACTAGCAGTCTCCCAACTGACCATCACTCAATCCTGCCATTCACCCATCCTATGTGGATACCCGGTTGTGTCCACACCTCTCCCACTTTCCCAGTGGCTAGGGCCTGGGATCCCAGGCTCCAGGGGCCCCGGGCAGCACTGTACCGAAACCAGTGGGTTCCAACAAACAGGACAAGGGGCTGGGCAGCAGGACTCCTGGGTTCTATCCCAGCTCTGCCCCGGACTTGTTGTGTGGCCTGTGGCACGTCCATCACTCTGTGCCTTGGTCTGCCTCTGCCTGTGGATGGTCTGCTCCTACCTGACCTCCTGCGACGTGGTCTGGGATTTGCCAGTGCAATGCATGCTGGCTGGGCCTCTCTACCTCCTGCTGGAGTTGTGGGCACATGAGCCCTGCTGGCTGGGGAGGCAGCGACCCACCCCTCTGAGCCAGCCCCATGCTCAGCAGCAAGCAGCTCTGGCTTTGGGACTGGAGCCTGCGGTCAGCTACCAGAGTCTGACCCCGCGCACGGCGCTGTGCAGGGCAGGTACGCAGGCCTCTCCCCCATGGGCTGTGGCACCCAGGCACTCGGCCCTGGGCTGGCGCCTGGCCCTGAAGCGGGGCTGCTGACAGGCCCTGCGTGCGGGTGTGCAGGAGGGTTGGGGTGTGCGAGCCCCCCGACGAGGGAACTCACTGGATGGAGGCGGGGCTCTTGCAGAGGTGCAGGGGCTGGTGGCCAGCCTCGGAGATGGTCTTGGGGTCAGCCCCAGAGGAGAGCAGCAGGTGCACACAGTCGGTTCTGGCCGCCGCGCAGGCCTCGTGAAGAGCTGTCTTGCCGCCAGGCGCAAAGTCCACGGCAGCGCCCCTCAGCAGCAGGTGCCGGAGGCAGTCCAAGTAGCCGCGCCCCGCCGTGATCTGCAGCGGCGTGGTGAGCTCCTGCTCGTAGGTCAGCGACCACAGCCCTGCCGTGCGAGAAGGGCTGTGAGGGGGACAAACGCACACACAGCCACAGTGCCCACCCCTGCCCCTCCCCACCAAACCCTCTCCCACAGGAGACCAGCCCCCCTCTCTCAGCCCCCCACCCACTGCTCCCCTCCCCCCGCTCCGCCGGGACCAGGTGTCCGAGGAAACCTGCTGGGCTTGGAGTTCATGCCGAGGGGGGTCCCCAGGCCACACTGAGTCCCGCCCCGGAGCTGCCTGTGGGCGCTCACCCTTGGGGCCGTGGGAAGGGGATTTGCTCTCTCAGCTGCACCCAGCAATGGGGAGCGGCTAGGTGCGCTCGCCACGACAGGCCATCAGGACAAGGCATGTCGAACACTCAGAAAGGGAGGGGGGAGGGGGGCTTTCAGGCCCCGGGAATCAGCCCCTCCCCCCCCACGCCGTGTTTTGGGGCGTGCAGGAGGCTGGGAGGGAGGGGGAGGAGCAAGGATGTGGTGCGCTGGGGGGGGGACGGCACTGGGCGGGAAGGGGCGGGGTGGGGGTGGGGCCTTGGGGGAAGGGGTGGAGTGGGGGCAGGGCCTGGGTCAGAGCCGGGAGTCGAGCACCCCCCGGCACTTTGGAACGTCGGTGCCGTGCCCTCAGTCGCCGCGACCCCTGGGCAGTGGAGGTCCCAATGGTGACCACAGCGATAGATGCGGGGCATTGCGGGATAGCTGCTGGAGGACAGCAAGGGTCGACCCCTGTGACGCAGTGTCTCCACTCGCACTGCGTTGCCTTAAGGACACTGATGGTAGCTCAGAGCTGCTCGGTGTTACTGGGGCGGCGTGCAGGGCTCTTACATCGGGGTGGTGTGGCCCAGGCCGAAGAGCCTTACTCAGTACTTCACATTGCAAATGCTTCAGCTGATTTGTCCTTCTTTCCCGTGTCTTTAATAAAAGGATCAAAGCATGTTTCATGGTACCTTTGCCCATGGGCAGTGGGCAATGGAGGCTGGGGGAGGCTAAGCCTCCCTAAACCTCCACTGATGCTCCGTGCCACAGCCCTGGGGCCAGGCCACAGCAGGCCTCTGGGTGGCCCAGGCTCAGGGCTCAGCCCCATCCAGCCAGCCAGCGGGGGCTCCTCCGGACTGCTCCGGGCGCCGGCAGGCCAGCCAGGGTTCAGGGCTGCTCCAGGCACTGGCCGGGGTTCGGGGCTGCGCCAACAGGTTGTTCAGTGAAAGCAGGGGGTGGGAGGGCGGAAGAGGCGGAGTGGGGGGCAGGGCCTTAGGGGAAGAGGCAGGGTAGGGGGTCTAGCCTCCCCAAACTTGGGGTGCATGCCTTTGCCATGGCACTGAGCAGGCAGAAGGCTCTGTATATCAAAGCCCAAACGTCTTCTGAAACTGTTTTATGTTGAATAGTGGTCTGGTTATATTAACACCTTTGGTTCATATATTCCAGTTAAATTAATACAGCATCCCAACCCCCCACCCCAGACAGTACCAGCAACACCCCCTGCCCTGCCCTGCCCCAACCTCCCTGGACAGCGTCAGCAACACCCCCTGCCCCAACACCCTCCAGACAGTACCAGAGACACCCCCTGCCCTGCCTCACCCCCCAGACAGTACCAGCAACACCCCCTGCCCCAACCCCCTATACAGTGCCAGTGACACCCCCTGCCCTGCCTGAACACCCCCAGACAGCATCAGCAACAGCCCCTACCCTGCCCCAACCCCCGCAGACAGGTGACTAAATAAATGCTCCCTAGTTTTGAACAGGCTGCCTTGCCTCACTGCAGTCTCTCACTGATTGTAATGCTCCCTAAGAAGGAAAAGCCTCTCTCAGGCATCTGACCTCAACTGGCCTCACTGGTGAGAACCACGGAGAGAAACGAGGGTTGCTGGAACGCAAAGGGTCAGTCTCGGAGTCCTTGAGAATACATGATCTGTCCTTGGGAAAGGGTGGGCTCTGGCCCACTGAAGGGGTTACACCAGGGGTTCTCAAACTGGGGGGGTCGTGACCCTTTAGGGGGTTGCAAGGTTATTACATGGGGGTTGTGAGCTGTCAGCCTCCACCCCCAAACCCCGCTTTGCGTCCAGCACTTATAATAGTTTTTAATATAAAAAAACTGTGTTTTTAATTTACACGGGTGGGGGGGTCACACTTAGAGGCTTGCTGTGTGAAAGGGGTCACCAATACAAAAGTTTGAAAACCACTGGTATGAGATCTGAGGCCTTTGTCTGAAGCCATATTAGGCCAGCAGTAGCCTAAAAAGCAGAGCTAAAAAGCAGAAAGTGACATCCTCTCATTCCATCTAAATTACATTAAAACAATATCCTAACGGGCTGTTCAGAAGGCTCCTGTCCGAATAGCACCCATCATCACCAGATAATAATATAGCTTTTAAAATGGTTAAAGAAAGCTTTGTTGGATGGCATCTGTCTGACAAGAAACCACTTATCAACAGTCATGGGTGTGAAATCCCTACTTTATTATTGTTTTGTCTTTATGGTCCCCACGTCTCTATAATTTATCTATATGGTCTCTGTCGGGTTCTTTGATTGTTTCTGTCTGTTGCATAACTAATTTTGCAAGATGTAAATCAACTAAAGTGGTGGGCTCTGATTGGTTAAAGAATTGTTTTGCAGTATGTTAGGATTGGTCAAAGAATTATTGTGTAGTACTTTAGCTTAAAATGATTGGTTAAGGTACAGCTAAGCAGGACTCAAGTTTAACTATATAAACTGGGGTCCAAAATGAAGGTCTTGGGAATCAACTCCAGGACCCAGCCCCAAGATCAGAGCTGCCAGACCTCAACACCCTGCCAACCACACCATGCAGAAACTGGAGTCCCCCAGATGACCTGATCCTGACTGGCCATCAAGAAAAGTTCATCTGCCTTATTGGGAGTGGTGAGCATTGCATGCTGTGTGTGCCTTCTGTTTTGGTGATTGTTAATAAATAGTGGTTCAGGCAGAGGTCCCCCAGCTTTTGGTCTCCTTACCGCTGTCTGCACCACCCCCGGATCCAGGGCCAGGAGTGGGGCCATGGCTGTGGGGGATGGCAGATTGGGGTAAGGGGCTGGGGCCACAGCTAGGGGTGAGGCTGGGGCTGAGAGTGGGGCTGCAGCCAGGGGCCGAGGTTGGGGGTGGGAGCAGAGCCATGCTGAAGCTGGGCACGGGGCCAGGAATAGAGCCGGGGGTGGGAAGGACTGGAGCAGAGCTGGGAGTGGGGAGGGTCTGAGTGGTGCTCCCTCCCTGCTCCCCCTCCCCCTGTGAGGGCTGGCCCGGGCATTGCTGTGCCATGACCCCGGACATTCCTCCATGCTCCCCTAGGGGGTGTGCCCCACAGTTTGGGGACCTCTGGGTTAAGGACATTACTGTGTAAGGCTCTTTCACGAGTGAAAGGCCCCACAAACCTGCAGAAGATTGCGCCCTGAGCCCTAGGAACGGGGTAAGGGTGGGGCTGCCTAAATTAGCCCGGTTACAGCTTGAGCCCATGGAAGGTAAAGGTGGGGTGCTCTAGCATTTGGGTAACACTGGAAACTGTTTAAAGGTTGGGGCATAGCACAGATGCTGTGAATCCATGACAGCTGACTTCATCACAGCTTTATTCTGAGTCACCCCAGCGAGCACTTCCTTTTTGTCACCCTGCAAGCATGGCGGACGCACATCTAAAGCCCCAGGAGTTTCCTGCCTACATCCCAGCAGGGGTATCTGAATATTGCCCAGGAACACGTATGTTTAGGGCCCTACCAGATTCATGGCCATGAAAAACACATCACGAGGAGCTAGGATTCACGATGTGACGGAGAGACTGCCGAGACTCATCAAGCCCTCAGATCGCTACCCCTTCCTGCTTCTCCACGTGGGCACCAATGATACTGCCAAGAATGACCTTGAGCGGATCAGTGCAGACGACGTGGCTCTGGGAAGAAGGATAAAGGAGTTTGAGGCGCAAGCGGTCTTCTCGTCCATCCTCCCCGTGGAAGGAAAAGGCCTGGGCAGAGACCATCGAATCATGGAAGCCAATGAATGGCTACGCAGGTGGTGTCAGAGAGAAGGCTTTGGATTCTTTGACCATGGGATGGTCTTCCATGAAGGAGGAGTGTTGGGCAGAGATGGGCTCCACCTAACAAAGAGAGGGAAGAGCATCTTCGCAAGCAAACTGGCTAACCTAGTGAGGAGGGCTTTAAACTAGGTTCACCGGAGGAAGGAGACCAAAGCCCTGAGGTAAGTGGGGACGTGGGATACCGGGAGGAAGCACGAGCAGGAGAGCACGAGAGGGCAGGGTTCCTGCCTCATACTGAGAAAGAGGGGCGATCAGCGGGTTATCTCAAGTGCCTATACACAAATGCACGAAGCCTGGGAACCAAGCAGGGAGAATGGAAGTCCTGGCACAGTCAAGGAATTATGATGTGATTGGAATAACAGAGACTTGGTGGGATAACTCACATGACTGGAGTACTGTCATGGATGGGTATACACTGTTCAGGAAGGACAGGCAGGGCAGAAAAGGTGGGGGAGTTGCACTGTATGTAAGGGAGCAGTATGACTGCTCAGAGCTCAAGTATGAAACTGCAGAAAAACCTGAGTGTCTCTGGATTAAGTTTAGAAGCATGAGCAACAAGGGTGATGTCGTGGTGGGAGTCTGCTATAGACCACCAGACCAGGGGAATGAGGTGGACGAGGCTTTCTTCCGGCAACTAACAGAAGTTACTAGATCGCAGGCCCTGGTTCTCATGGGAGACTTCAATCACCCTGATATCTGCTGGGAGAGCAACACAGCGGTGCACAGACAATCCAGGAAGTTTTTGGAAAATGTGGGGGACAATTTCCTGGTGCAAATGCTGGAGGAACCAACTAAGGGCAGAGCTCTTCTTGACCTGCTGCTCACAAACTGAGAAGAATTAGTAGAGGAAGCTAAAGTGGATGGGAACCTGGGAGGCAGTGACCATGAGATGTCGAGTTCAGGATCCTGATACAGGAAAGAAAGGAGAGCAGCAGAATATGGACCCTGGACTTCAGAAAAGCAGACTTTGACAACCTCAGGGAACTGATGGGCAGGATCCCCTGGGAGATTAACATGAGGGGGAAAGGAGTCCAGGAGAGCTGGCTGTATTTTAAAGAATCCTTATTGAGGTTACAGGGACAAACCATCAGGATGTGTAGAAAGAATAGTAAATATGGCAGGCGACCATATTTGGCTTAACAGTGAAATCCTTGCTGATTTTAAACACAAAAAAGAAGCTTACAAGAAGTGGAAGATTGGACAGATGGGTAGGGAAGAGTATAAAAATACTGCTCGGGCATGCAGGAGTGAAATCAGGAAGGCCAAATCACACCTGGAGTTGCAGCTAGCAAGAGATGTTAAGAGCAACAAGAAGGGTTTCTTCAGGTATGTTAGCAACAAGAAGAAAGTCAAGGAAAGTGTGGGCCCCTTACTGAAGGAGGGAGGCAACCTAGTGACAGAGGATGTGGAAAAAGGCTAATGTATTCAATGCTGCTTTTGCCTCTGTCTTCATGAACGAGGTCAGCTCCCAGACTACTGCACTGGGCAGCACAGCATGGGGAGGAGGTGACCAGCCCTCTGTGGAGAAAGAAGGGGTTTGGGACTATTTAGAAAAGCTGGACGAGCACAAGACCATGGGGCCGGATGCGTTGCATCCGAGAGTGCTAAAGGAGTTGGCGGATGTGATTGCAGAGCCATTGGCCATTATCTTTGAAAACTCATGGTGATCGGGGGAAGTCCCGGACGACTGGAAAAAGGCTAATGTAGTGCCCATCTTTAAAAAAGGGAAGAAGGAGGATCCTGGGAACTACAGGCCAGTCAGCCTCACCTCAGTCCCTGGAAAAATCATGGAGCAGGTCCTCAAGGAATCAATTCTGAAGCACTGAGAGGATAGGAAAGTGATCAGGAACAGTCAGCATGGATTCACCAAGGGCAAGTCATGCCTGACTAATCTAATTGCCTTCAATGACGAGATAACTGGCTCGGTGGATGAGGGGAAAGCAGTGGACGTGTTGTTCCTTGACTTTAGCAAAGCTTTTGACATGGTCTCCCACAGTATTCTTGCCAGCAAGTTAAAGAAGTATGGGCTGGATGAATGGACGATAAGGTGGATAGAAAGCTGGCTAGATTGTTGGGCTTGATGGGTGGTGATCAATGGCTCCATGTCTAGTTGGCAGACGGTATCAAGTGGAGTGCCCCAAGGGTCGGTCCTGGGGCCGGTTTTGTTCAATATCTTCATAAATGATCTGGAGGATGGTGTGGATTGCACCCTCAGCAAGTTTGCAGATGACACTAAACTGGGAGGAGAGGTAGATACGCTGGAGGGTAGGGATAGGATACAGAGGGCCCTAGACAAATTGGAGGATTGGGCCAAAAGAAATCTGATGAGGTTCAACAAGGACAAGTGCAGAGTCCTGCACTTAGGACGGAAGAATCCCATGCACCGCTACAGACTAGGGACCGAATGGCTCGGCAGCAGTTCTGCAGAGAAGGACCTAGGGGTTACAGTGGACAAGAAGCTGGATATGAGTCAACAGTGTGCCCTTGTTGCCAAGAAGGCCAATGGCATTTTGGGATGTATAAGTAGGGGCATAGCCAGCAGATCGAGGGATGTGATCATTCCCCTCTATTCGACATTGGTGAGGCCTCATCTGGAGTACTGTGTCCAGTTTTGGGCCCCACACTACAAGAAGGATGTGGAAAAATTGGAAAGAGTCCAGCGGAGGGCAACAAAAATGATTAGGGGGGTGGAGCACATGACTTATGAGGAGAGGCTGAGGGAACTGGGATTGTTTAGTCTGCGGAAGAGAAGAATGAGGGGGGATTTGATAGCTGCTTTCAACTACCTGAAAGGAGGTTCCAAAGAGGATGGATCTAGACTGTTCTCAGTGGTAGCAGATGACAGAACAAGGAGTAATGGTCTCAAGTTGCAGTGGGGGAGGTTTAGGTTGGATATTAGGAAAAACTTTTTCACTCGGAGGGTGGTGAAACACTGGAATGGGTTACCTAGGGAGGTGGTAGAATCTCCTTCCTTAGAGGTTTTTAAGGTCAGACTTGACAAAGCCCTGGCTGGGATGATTTAGCTGGGGTCAGTCCTGCTTTGAGCAGGGGGTTGGACTAGATGAGGTCCCTTCCAACCCTGGTATTCTATGTTTCTATGATTCTACGATCCGTGAAATCTGGTGTCCCCCGTGAAATACGATTTTTTGTGTGCTTTTACCATATACTAGACAGATTTCACGGGGGAGACCAGCATTTCTCAAATTGGGCATCCTGACCCAAAAGGAAGTTGCGGGGGGGCGTCACAAGGTTCTTGTGGGGGGGTCGCAGCATTGCCACCTTTACTTCTGCCCTGCTGCCCTCGGAGCTGGGTGGCCGGAGCGCAGCGGCTGCTGCCTGAGGGCCCAGCTCTGCAGGCAGCAGCGCAGAAGTTCGGGTGGCAAGGCCAGACCCTGCCACCCTGACGTCTGCCCGGCGGCTGCTGGCAGGGTCTCTGCCTCCGGCGCTGGGCTCCCAGCCAGCAGCCGCCGCTCTCCAGCCGCCCAGCTCCGAGGGCAGCACCGCCGCCAGCAGCCGCCGGGCAGATGTCAGGGTAGCAGTACCACCCCCGCCCCCACAACCCCCTTTTGGGTCAGGACCCCTACGGTTACAACACTGTGAAATTTCAGCTTTAAATGGCATCATGACATTTATGATTTTTAAAATCCTATGACCGTGAAATTGACCAAAATGAACTGTGAATTTGGTAGGGCCCTACATATGTTCTATTAACCCCCTCCCACATAACCTCTGACTTTTCATTTTGCCAGTGGGTGCCCCAAACCAGCCCCGCCCCCACTCTGCTCCCAGGGCCCTGCCCCCACTCCACCTCTTCCCATCCCCACTCCGCCCCCTACTCCAAGGCCCACCTCCTTTCTGCCCCCTACTGCCTTAGGGGCAGTGAGGGAGGGATGGGGCAGAGAGGAGCCAGTGGCGGGGCAGCCCCACTGAACAGCTGATCAGCGGGGCAGCCACTGAAGAGAAGCTGGGAGCATAAGGCCAGCCAGTGAAAAGCTGATTGGCAGCCAGCCCCAGGGCCCCCAGAGCAGCAGCCCTGGCCAGCCCCACGGTTGCTGAGCGGCGCCTATGCTCCCACACCAGGATCTTGTGATACCCTCAGGTGAACTCCACTCCCAGCACAACAGCACTGGAAACACTGGGCCCATACCGTCCAGCTAGCCTGAGTATGACAGCGGTGCAGCTGCGGCTGAGCTGTGCAGCGCATCACCCCGCCTGAAGCCACTGGGCACGTTCTTGGCACGGCTCAGCTACAGCTGAGCCAGCTCGTTGATTGCTAGGGGCGTACGCAGGGGTGAAAGTAACTTAAAGGACTTACCAGTACGCCGGAGTCCTGAGCGGGGGCGTGGCCTCAACGGGAAGAGGCGGGGCCTTTAAATCAAGATTTAAAGACCCCGAGGCTGCGGCTGGGAGCCCCGGGGCCTTTAAATCAGCCCCGGAACTACCAGCTGCAGAGGCGGCTGGGAGCCCCAGGGCTCAGGGGCGATTTAAAGGGTTAAATCGCTGACAGGTCCCTGCCGCCACTACCCCAGGGCTCTGGCAGTGGGGCTCGGGAGGTCATTGAAAGGGCCCGGAGTTCCGGCCGTTGCAGGGAGCCCCGAGCCCTTTACATCGCTAGCCTGGGGAAGCCAGTCCAGTTCGATACGGGATACTGGCTCTTGCCGGTACGCCGTACTGGACTGGACCGACTTACTTTCACCTCTGGGTGTACATGCACACAAGCAGAGGAGCCACGCCCCTAGTCTGCAGTGTGGACATAGCCCTAGAGACTGGGATGGGGACCCGGGCTGGATATAAAACACCCTAGAGCTCCCTCCCCAGCCCCCAGCACTCCCTCATCACCCTCTGGCGCTCCCTCTGCCCCCAACACACATCCGCCTGGATTCCCTTCCCCTTGACACCCTCCCCCCAGCACTTTCTCCTCCCCTGTGCCTCCCCCAGTACTTCCACCCATTGAGCATCCCCCCACAGCACTCCCTCTCACCCCCCAGCCTCCACCCACCAAGCACTCTGTCCCCCAGGTGCTCGCTCTCACCAAGTTTCCTGCTGGTCCACCGCAGCTCGTCACCCTTGGATTCAATGATGAGGTTGACGGCAGCGCTCTCAGTGAAATGCTTCTGCACTGCCTCCAGGTCCCCGGTGAAGAGCGCATTCTGCACCAACACATCTCGGCACTCGATTGGCTCCATGCGGCTGCTGCGGAATCCCCGGCCCCCAGGGGTTGGGGCAGTCAGGCCTTGGTCCATGTGCCTGGTGTGCATCCACCTGTCCAGCAGATCCTCGTCCAGCTGCAGTGCGGGGTGAGCACTGGCTTTATAAAGGGGCAATTGGCTGCTGCAGCCCCAGAGCTCCTGGCTCAGTGGCGTGTCCTTGGTGGGCTGCTCCCGGATGCAGGCTACTCAGGACTGGCTGGCTGGGTCAGACACGGGCCTGACTCAGCCTTTATAAATAGCGCCCTTGGCAGCACCCACCACCAGAGTTTGTTTATCCTCCACTGCTGGCACTGATCTCCAGGGTCACTTTGGGCACGGGGCAGGCCCCTGCCTGCTCGCTCTCCCTGGCTAGCACAGGGCAGTGCGTACTCTTTCCCTGTGCCCCTGGGCAGTGGGTGTAGGGACCAAGGTGTCATGCCCACAGCACACGGAAATGTGCACCACAGAGCAGAGCCAGCCTGGCCGAGATCTCACTGAAGATGTGGTGCAATGCAGGAGCAGCAAGCGAGGATGGGGGGGGGGGTGCATCTGAGACAGGAGTTGGGGGCAATGCCAGGGCTGGGTGAAGCCTGCTCTCCTTTACCCTCTGCATAGGGCACTTGGGATACAGAGCAGCTGAGTAGTGACGACCCTGGAGGAGCCCAGAGAGAACTGGGGGGGTGGGGGGGAGGCAATACTAGGGCAAGACTTGGCTGGGGCAGTGCAGCGAATAGACCTCACCTAGGGGCGTGGGGCTGGGCAGGAGTGGGGAGGGGAGGGAAGGGACACCCTGTGTCTATGGGGCTCTTGGGATACCCCTCCTGGAACCCTGCACTCAACTCCAAGCATGGTCCCAGAGGCCTGCCCAGGGGCAGGGAGGGGCCAGCCCATTTCTGTGCGGTATCCAAATCCAGCCCCCAGAAAAGGGAGGAAACCAGTTCTCTCCAGCTGCTTCAGAGGGGAGAGGTTCCTATGGAAACCACCAGGGCTTTGAAGGGCTTTTCCATTTGGTTAAGTCACACCAGAACACAGCAGCCATCTCAGACATGACCTGGTTCAGGGTGAGAGATGCAGCCGCCAACGCTCCCCCCAGTCAGAGACTGCTCCCAAGGAGGGCACCCCAGGTGGGCTGTGTGGCTGGGGTGGCTCCCTGGCTGGCCGGGCCTCACAAGGAAGGAAAACTATTTTTGGCATGTATTTCTCTTGTGAGTTTGTTCCAAAGTAAAAAGGTGGGAATGGGAGTTGGCCTCTGTGAAGCATCTAGGAGTTAGCCTGGGCTCTCTACTCTGCGGCCTGGCAGCTCACACACCCAGCTGGGCTCATGGCACCTTTAGCTGGGACACCACAAGCTGAATAAGGTGTTCAAGTGGCTCCAGCCATTGTGAGAGGGGAACAGCAGCCACTGGGAATCACTCTAGATAAAGCAACAGAAAAGATTTTGCTTCAAAGCACCTTCACCTGGCATAGTCCCTTGAGAGTTGTGTTAACTACTTACGCTAAACAATCTGTTCCACCTTGCAGTGAGCTGTGACGCTCTGAGGCCAGGTCTGCACTGCAGACCTAGGTCAGCATAACTATGTCGCTCAGGGGTGTGAAAAGTCTGGAGGCCTTCTCCTGCCGACACAGCTACTGCCTCTTGGGGAGGTGGATGAACTACTCCACTCCCATCAGCATAGGAGCATCTTCACTCAGGCCATGTCTACACTACCACTTGGGTCGCTCAGGGTGTGAGAAAACCACCCCCCAAACAACGTCAGTTACACTGATAGCAGCCCGGTGAGCACCGTGCTATGTCAGCGGGAGAGCATCTCCCAGAGCTACGGCTGCCATCGTTGGTGGTAACTGACAGCAGCACTCCCTGCCGGGGGCATGGAGCGTCTCCCCCAGACGAGCTGTATCCCTGCATGTGTAGACGCCCTGCAGCGCTGCAGCTGCGCTGATGCAGCGTTTTAACCTTGCCCAGACCTGAAGAGGAGCTCGGTGTAGCTTGAAAGCTTGTCTCTCTCACCAACAGAATTTGGTCCAATAGAAAATATTCCCTCCCCCACCTTATCTTGCAGAAACCAAACAAGAAAGCTCTGCTAAGGCAAGTATGAACCTGGCAAATACTGAACTGACTCTCTGAAAGCTGGAAGGTTCAGTGAGTTCTACAAGCCCAGGGGAGTCAGAGCTCCTACAGCCAGACATCTGAGAGTTCCCGAGCCCATTTCTGACCGGAGCATGCAGAAGTATCTTTCGTGTCCCCACTTAACTCTAAATAGGATGAACTGATTTTGCCCAAACTTTAAAATAATAATAATAAAAAAAATGCACTTCTGGGCCACTCTCCTGGCTGGAGAATCCCAGCACAAGGGGAATGGGCCTGTGGAAGTTCGGAACCACTGCAAACGGCCAGTGAGAATGTACGGACAGAGGCCCGACCCCACTGGGAGCTCCCATACAACCCGGGAGACACCTGGTCTCTGCCTTGCTCCATCCCTACAGTTCATTCTCTGTTAAGTGCCGGCAGTGACCTAGATGCTGAGCCAGACGCACAAATGAGTCGCTGCCCTGCAGAGAATGTGCTGCGAACCAGCCGAGCACATATGGTGCCACCATGGCAGGAATTTGGCCAGAAGAGGCCCCGCCCCCCTACTTCCTGCAAATACAGAGCTACCCAGGGCTTTGCCCAGTTTAAATGGCTGGAGCAATGCAGCTCCCACCACTTCCCAGTGGCACCGTCCAGTAACCAGCAGCGCCTGCCGTTCTTCCCCTTTGCTCAGTCACTCACATCCCACGGTCCAGTCACGCTCCCAGGGCTACACTAAGCGCCTCTCCCTTCTTGGGGCTCTGCAGCCTGTCCCCACAAACTGTGACACCCTCAGGCAGCTACACAGCTCCTGGAGCTCCCTCCATGTGAGGACCGAGAGCCCCAGAGTTCAGTGCAAGGTCTGAGGGGATGGGGAAGAGAGGAGCATGGTGTCCCGTGTGCGTGCATGTGTGTCCGTCCCCAGCTCCCTATAGGGATGGGGACACCCCCTTCTCAGGGACTGGGGACCCAGAACTGCATGCAGGGTTCAGGGGATGGGAGCTGAGCAGAGGGTCCCAGAAGTGTCTCTGCCCAGAACACTAGAGGGAGGGGCTGCCCCCCATTCTCTGGAGTAGAGGCATCTGTGTGCACAGCTCAGAGCTGCCTGGGCTCAGGGGCAGGGGGCTCGTTCCCTCTCAGGGCTGCATGAGGGCAGTGACCCAGACCATGGGCCCCCTCACACTGGAGCTGGGACAGGATCTGGGCAGACCCACAACAGGCTCCCGGTTGCCATTCCAGGCGTAGTTGGGAGTGTACGTCTTGGTTCTCTCTCACCCCACATGCACCACTCTTGCTCATCCTATGTATGCATGCAGAGCCCCAGGTGCACCCGGTACATGCATACATGCCCCCACATGCACACACGTGCACGCACACACACAGACACACATCACATGCATGCACAACGCTCCAGGCTCACCCCACATGCACACGCATGCACACACACAGAGACACACACACCACATGCATGCACAACCCCCCATGTGCACACACACAGAGACACACATGCACAGACACCCCCCCAAGCTCAAGTACACCGCCCCTCCAGGTTTGCCCCACATACGCACTTGCACTCCCCCAGCTCACTCCCATCCATGCACAGACCTCTTTCTGCACAGATGGGCGGGACGAAGAATAAGTTGGCTTTATGGGGCTGCCCTGCCCAAGGGCCCCAAAGCATAAAGCCCAGGGAGGGAGATGCAGGACCCCTCAGCCAGCACTATTTCTTCCCTTTCTTTCCTGTCTTGTCCTTCCCCTTTCCCTCCTTCTTGTCTGCTGTCTCCTGCGCTGCCTTGAGTCGCTTCTTACCCAATGGAGTCTTCATGTACCAGTCCTGCCAAGAGGGCACAAAGAAGCAAGTGAGGTCAGTGCAGAGCTGATGCTGCACTGCAGAGGACACCCTGGGTTGGGGGATGGCAGGGGTGGGCCCGAGTCAGCCCCTAGTGGTGACAGTGACATGGTGGGCAGGGACCTGGGCAGGTTAGGGGGCTTGGGGGAGGGCCCCCCGTGTCTGCCTCGAGGGGTGACAGTAACATGGGGGGGGCTGGAGGGAGGGACCCCCTGTGCCTACCCCAAGAGGTGACAGTAATGTGGAGGGCAGGGACCAGGCTGGGTGGGGGGCTGGGGGTAAGTCCCCCTGTGCCTGCCCTGAGGAGTGACAATAACGTGAGGGGCAGGGACAAGGTTGGGGTGGGAGGCTGGAGGGAAGGGCTCCCCTGTGCCTGCCCCAAGGGGTGACAGTAATATGGGGGGGCTGAGATCTCTGGGGCTCAGCCAGGCACCTGCAGTGTCTTCTCCTCCTCTCTGTAAATGGGGTCGGCCTTTGCCAGTTGCTGCAGGAACTCGCTTGCCCCCAGCGGCTTCTTGAGCATCTGCAGCAGGCGCCGCTCAGTCAGTACCATCTGTACGGCCTGTGCCATGTGCCCCTGGCTGTAGCCATCCGAGAGCTTGGCCAGGGCACTGACGTCCAGGCCAGTGGTGACGGTGCCGCCATGCTTCTTGATCAGGCGCTGCCAGGTCACTAAGGAGGCAAAGGGGACAATGGTGGGTGAACTCTGGGAGAGACCCGCCTGTGCTGGGGGGAGGCAATAGGAGGAGAGACAGGGCACGGGGTGGAGGAACTGGGGGGGCTGCAGGGGAGAGACATAATGTTCCAAACTCCCACCATCACCACCATGGAGCAATGCAAGCAGGGGGGCGGGACATCTGTGCAGTAGCTGATGCAGAACAGGCTGAGTGGGGGAGGTGTTAAGTGGGTTTTCTCCAGACCCTTCTCTGAACTGCAAACAGACCGGGGCAGACAAACCCCGAATGCTGGTGGATATTCCAATACTTAGATTTACCCAGCCAGCCCAAAACAGCTTCTACAGCACCTCCCTGGTTACTCAGAAGTCCAAACAACACAGTTCCCTTAAAGTATCCAGCCTCAGGCCTCCATCCAGACACACCTGTCAAACATAGGATGATAAACTCTGAAAATCCTATTTCATCATATAAAAGAAAAGGTTCTCCTGATCCCAAAGGACCAAGCCCCAGACCCAGGTCAAATGATAACTCAGATCTTACCCAAAATACACGCTTATAGCCAATTCTTATTAACTAAACTAAAATTTATTAAAAAAGAAAAGAGAGAGAGAGAGAGAGTTGGTTGAAAGATCAATATACATACAGACTTGAGTTCAATTTCTTGAAGTCCAGATACCTAGCGGAGATGGTGAGTTTGTAGCTGCCGAAAGTTCTCTTAGAAATAGTCCGGAGGTTATTGTCCAATGTCCATAGTCAGGGTGACTCCAGTCAGTGACTGGGGATCTCAATTCTTATGGCTCAGGGTTTCCCCTTCTTGAAACCCAAAGCAGATCTGAGATGAAGAAGGATCGTGTCCCAGGGTTTTTATACATTTCCAGCAGCCTTTTGGCCTGAGAAAACAATAGGCTTAACTTTCCTTATCCCAAACATCACAGGCAATTAGCACAGGGTCATTTATCCATTAAGCAGTTCAGATACAGGTTACCACAACCTTCAAAGAGACATACAGACAATAATACGATTTCACTCCAGTGTCTTCCTAAATGTTAATACTCCTTTTTTGATCTTTGAATCAAAGCTATAGGGATAGACAAGACTTGTTTGCTGACCTCACAAGACCTGAGCAAACATCTCCCCTTCTACCTCTAACAATGTCGGCTGCATTTCAAAGCTCTATTCATTTCCATCTCTTCCTAACCCGTCTTTCGGCCATGGGTCAGGTCAGTCTGTGAGTTAATTAACTCTTTCTGGCCTTGTGTCACCTTTCAATGAGATGATATATTACATGCATAACATCACACCTTCCCAGCTCAGCACCGCCCAGCCCGCTGCTCTGGCTGCTGCTGCTTGGGGTCCTGGAGCTGGGAACTGCCAGCTCCTTGGCTGGACTGGGGTCTGAATCATGCAGTCACCTTCCCCCACACTCTAGTGTTAACTCAGGGACTCACCCACAACTATTTCACATTTGGGGACAATGTATACCTTCAAATCAGCAGCACTGCTATGGGTACCCGCATGGCCCCACAGTATGCCAACATTTTTATGGATGACTTAGAACAGCGCTTCCTCAGCTCTCGTCCCCTAATGCCCCTACTCTACTTGCGCTACACTGATGACATCTTCATCATCTGGACCCATGGAAAAGAAGCCCTTGAGGAATTCCACCATGATTTCAACAATTTCCATCCCACCATTAACCTCAGCCTTGACCAATCCACACAAGCGGTCCATTTCCTGGACTCTACTGTGCTAATAAGCGATGGTCACATAAATACCACCCTATACTGGAAACCTACTGACCGCTATGCCTACCTACATGCCTCCAGCTTTCACCCAGACCACACCACACGATCCATTGTCTACAACCAAGCTCTAAGATACAACCACATTTGCTCCAATCCCTCAGACAGAGACAAACACCTACAAGATCTCTATCAAGCATTCTTATAATTACAATACCCACCTGCTGAAGTGAAAAAACAGATTGACAGAGCCAGAGGAGTACCCAGAAGTCACCTACTACAGGACCGGCCCAGCAAAGACAATAACAGAACGCCACTCGCCGTCACCTTCAGCCTCCAACTAAAACCTCTCCAGCGCATCATCAAAGATCTACAACCTATCCTGAAAGATGATCCCTCACTCTCACAGATCTTGGGAGACAGGCCAGTCCTCGCTTACAGACAGCCCCTCAACCTGAAGCAAATACTCACCAGCAACCACACACCACACAACACAACCACTAACCCAGGAACTTATCCTTGCAACAAAGACCGATGCCAACTCTGTCCACATATCTATACAAGTGACACCATCATAGGACCTAATCACATCAGCCACACTATCAGGGGCTCATTCACCTGCACATCTACCAATGTGATATATGCCATCATGTGCCAGCAATGCCCCTCTGCCACCATGTACATTGGCCAAACCGGACAGTCTCTACGCAAAAGAATAAATGGACACAAATCTGACAACAGGAATCATAACATTCAAAAACCAGTCGGAGAACACTTCAATCTCCCTGGTCACTCAGTAAGAGACTTAAAGGTGGCAATTTTGCAACAGAAAAGCTTCAAAAACAGACTCCAACGAGAAACTGCTGACCTGGAATTAATTTGCAAACTTGGGCTTGAACAGAGACTGGGAGTGGTTGGGTCATTACACAAATTGAATCTATTTCCCCATGTTAAGTATTCTCACACCTTCTTGTCAACTGTCTGAAATGGGCCATCTTGATTATCACTACAAAAGTTTTTTTTCTCCTGCTGATAATAGCTTATCTTAATTAATTAGCCTCTTAGAGTTGGTATGGCAACTTCCACCTTTTCATGTTCTCTGTATATATATATATATACACACACACCTTCTTACTATAAGTTCCATTCTATGCATCTGATGAAGTGGGCTGTAGCCCACAAAAGCTTATGCTCTAATAAATTTGTTAGTCTCTAAGGTGCCACAACTACTCGTGTTCTTTTTGTGGATACAGACTAACACGGCTGCTCCTCTGAAACCCAGACACTGCAATTCGGGGGTGGGGCAAGGAGACTGGGAAGTCACAGAGCGAGGTCCCCAGAGAGCTTTGAGGGGGGGGGGATGCTCAGGGAGGGATCAAGCCAAGCCAAGCCAAGCAATAAAAGAAGGTAAATCCCCCAGGCTCCCCCTCATTCTGAGCCCCATCTTGCAGTGAGTACCTATAGGGCCCTGGACTTGAATGTAATCGTCCCGCACCCGCACACCTGCACAATCCAGGCCACTCCCCCTGCACTGGGGTAAGGTCCTTCCCAGGCTAGCAAATGGCTCTTGCTGCTCACAGCTGGCTTGCTGCTGCCCATGGCAGGTGTGTTTGATTTTAACTCTCTTGTAATTCACACTCATCTTAGCTGACTTGCATCATGTTGATTTCAGACCAATTCTCTCATTTGCAAAGGTTGTTTTCAGTTCTTATTTTGTTCTCCAAAGTGCTTGCAACCCCTCCAGCTTAGAGTCACCTGCAGATTTTATAAGCATCTCTCCTCTTCTTTGCACTACCTAGCCTGCTTGATGGCCCATTAAGGACCATCAACTACACAACTGACCCATTGAAAGACGGCAGATACACCTTGTGACTCAGCCAGGCATGCAGGGACATGCCTATGGACAGAACTGAGGTTTTTCCATGCCATGTGCTGGGTAGCTTGTGTTTGGAACAAAGGAAGCACAAGCCACATGGCAAAAGGACTATAAAAGGCAGCTGCATCATCTCCATTTTGTCCTCAGTCCTGCTTCTTACCTCTGGAGGGACTTTGCTACAAACTGAAGCTCTGAACAAAGGACTGAATGACCCTTCCAAGCTGTGGATGTATTCCAGAGACTTGACTTAAGCCAGCAGTTTATTCCATCACTGCTACAAGCCTGAACCAAGAACTTTGCCATTACTGTATGTAATTGATTCCATTTAACCAATTCTAGCTCTCATCTATATTTCTTTTTCTGAATAAACCTTTAGATTTTAGATTCCAAAGGATTGGCAACAGCGTGATTTGTGGGTAAGATCTGACTTGTATATTGACCGGGGTCTGGGGCTTGGTCCTTTGGGATCGAGAGAACCTTTTTTCTTTTACTGGGGTACTGGTTTTCAAAACCATTCATCCCCATAACGAGTGGTGCTGGTGGTGATACTGGGAAACTGGAGTGTCTGAGGGAATTGCTTGTGTGACTTATGGTTAGCCTGTGGGATAAAACCAAAGTCCTCTCTGTTTGGCTGGTTTGGTGCCTTAGTCGTGAAGAACCCCCGGCTTTGGGCTGTGACTGCCCTGCTCTAAGCAATTTGTCCTGAACTGATACTCTCAGTTGTGTCCCACCAGAGGTTGCATGGTTACAGGGGGATGGAGACCAGGAGTGGAAGGTCAGGCTCAGAGAGATGAAAGAGCCTACTAGTTTGTTGCTGGTCAGGCCGGTGTGAGGCCAAGCCATGTAAATAGTCTGTCAATAGTGGGAAACTGGTAGTGGGAAACAGACACTAAATAAAGAGCACGGGTGTTGCACCAGCTTGGAGTGTCCCTGAATCTTTAAGGAGCAGGGTCAAGGGGCCAAATCCAACGGGGCACCCCGTGACAGGCCCCCAAAGCACTGGTGAAAAGGGAAGGAACCAGCCAGTCATCAGCACCAGCTGGCTGAGTTTACAAGCAGCTCTGCCTGGGCCAGGCCCCTCCATCACCGTAGCGGGATGCATAGTCAGGCCGGGGGAGGAGGAGGATCCGCTCGTAGGCTTTGCACAGCATCTTCACGTCAGCTGCATAGGGCTTGTCCGATGTGCCGATCAGCAGCACCCGATCCTCTGGCTTCAGCAGCTTCAGGGCTTTGGGTAAATCCCTCTTCAGACGCTTGGGGTCAGCCTGCGAGGCAGCAAAGGGCAGAGTCATGGGGCCAGGTCGAGCCCACAGGCGGGGGGCAGAGTTACGGGGGGGCTGGTCCGGGGAGGAAAGGGTCCCTGGGGTCTGGTCGAGCCTGCAGGAGAGGCAGGGAGGCAGAGTTATTGGGCTCAGGTCGAGCCTGTGTGCAGTGGGGGGAGAGTTATGGGGGGTCCAGTCGAGCCCTGGGCAGTGGGGGGACAGAGTTACTGGGGTCAGGTTGAGCCCACGGGCAGGGGGACAGAGTTACTGGGGTCAGGTCGAGCTCCGGGCAGGGAGAAGGCATGGTCACTGGGATCAAGTCAAGCCCATGGGCAAGGGGGCAAAGTTATGGGATTCAGGTTGAGCCCATGGGTGGGGTGCACAGTCACTGGGGCCAGGGTCCCTGGGGTTAGGGCGAGCCCATGGGCCAGGGTTCCTGGGGTCAGGGCGAGCCTGCAGGCAGGGGCGGGGTCACTGGAACCAGAGCTAGGGGTCTGGCACAGGTTAGGGTACAGCTGTTCCAATGCACATTCTCAGGTGCTCCTGCCCCTGCCCCTCTGGCATGAACTGGGGCAACGTCTGTACAAGTCATGAATTCTGGCTAATGCCGTGAGGGGTATTCTGAAAACCAGTTGTATCATGAGTGCCTATATGTCAGTGGGGCCAGCACTGCTGATGGGTCTCATAGTGGGGACACACATGAAAGATACCATGGGGTTCTTTAGATTTAACAACCCTACTCGGGGCAAACACCCAAAAACAATAGGTCAGTGAAATCCCTAGAAAACCAGTTTCGCTGACTCTTGGGACGGGAGAGGGAAAGGCAGGAGCAGTGGGAACTCACCCCGAAGACAGAACAAAGGATGCCAGGGGGTTTAAGTAGCGAGGCACACGAACAGAAGGAGGCCAGATAAGAGGAAGTAGGAGAGACCAAGGTCACCCACCATGTAGCAGCCTTATAGGGCAGGGGTCCCGTGCTCACTTTCCTGAGCCCACATGGTCCCAAAGACTGCACAACCGATGGGATGCTGACACCCATCCAAAGAACGCCCTGGAACGGTGAGGAAACTGAGGCAGGGACATGGGGGTAGTGTGTGTTGTTTTGTACTCTCCTGTGCTTTTCATGGTTATGTCAAAGAGTATTAATGTGTCCCCCTCTGTGTGTAAGGTGTGAGTGTGTTCACTGCTTCACAGCTGCTGCGTGTCCCTAGAGCATTAAACAGTAACCAGAAGCTTCACACGTCAGGGCAGAGCTCTGGGAAAGGGTGTGTTTGAGTCAGGGGAGTCTGAAGGGTCAGCATTGCACTCACCTGTGCTAGATGGCTGGACAGTGGCTTCCAGCACTCCTGAGAGGGGGCCAGACAGAAGGCCTGTGCCCTGGGACTGTGACTAGAGACCCAAGGATTGGGGCAGTGGCTGGACCATACAGGCTCCGGGACCCAGAGCAGCAGAGGCTTGGACCCCTACTGTGTGGCCAGGAGGGGATGCTAGCTAGGATCTATGGCACCCTCCCCACTCCTGGTAACACGGTCCCCCACCCCAGCAGCCCCCGGCCCCAACTCTCACCTGCTTCTCCTCTTTCGGCACCTTCTTGTAAAAGGTTTTCTCTGCGTTCCCGATCCAGACCACAGACGGCTGCATCAACCTGGCCACCTAGAGCGCCCGAGAGGAGGTTTAGCCAGAGCCCCCAGCCACAGGGAAGGGGAGGGTAGGCCCCTGGCCCGTTAGGACACCCTGCCCATCCCACCCCGCAACACCACACTGCACTAGGCCCAGGTGAAAATCTGCCCCATCCCTCCTCTGGGGCCTGAGCTCCGCCCTGCTCAGGTGGGGAATGGCCCATGTCCTGCCCTGTGTTGTGCTGGTACCTTGAACACCATGTGCATCAGCATGCTGAGGCCAGCCTTCCCCGGGTACTTGCCCACCAGGTTGTCTGGGGACAGGTCAAAGAGGTTGGCACCCGTCTCGGTGCACACAGCATGGACCAGCATCTTCTTTCCAGTTCCAGCAGGCCCAGCAAGCAGGATGGACTTCACCAGGGGCGCTAGCTCGTGCACTGTGGGGGACCCTGGGGGACAATGGGGGCGGGGCAGGGAGAAGGTTTCTGCTTCACCCCAACATAGCTGTCAGCGTATCCCATGGAGACACCCCCCCATGTGAATGCCCATCCCCTACCCCACAGAAAAACTGAATCATGCCTGACCCCTGCATGGGAATGCCAGGCCATGCCTTCCCTCCTCCCCCTGCATGGGAATGCCAGCCCTGCCCAACCTCCCCCCACCCCACAGAAGTGCCAGGCCTGGCCAGACCCTCCTCCCCCCGTGGGAGTGCCAAGCCATGGTGCCAGGCCCTGGCAGTGACTAGGGTGGTGCAGGGCTTTCCCACACAGCAAGTTTGTTCCTGCCAGGGGATACTGCACCCTTGTGCAGTGCACACCCCAACATCTGTTGCAGGGCAGGGTACATCCACCAAACACCTGCCCCCCCCTCGCCAGCCCCTTCACGTGCACCGGGATGGGGTGGCTGGTCCCTTACCCAGGCGAAGGATGGCATACAGGGTGATGTTCTGCCTGATGTCCATCACCGAGGGCGTGGGTTCAATGCCCGCCATGCGCAGGGTAGTGCCCAGGTAACAGAAATCGCCTGTCAGGGGAGGCAGGCGTGAGCAGTAGGGAAGAAGGGGACAGAGACAGTTCCCCACCCTCCACCCCACCGGTGGTGAGAGACACGGGCTGGGTCAGACCCCTCCCCACACACACATCCTCCCACTTACAGCAGCATGCTAGCTGGAGCGAGACACACACCTCCCCCTTCCCCTGCCTGCATGGGGCGGGGAGAGGACTCCTGTCCCCACTCCCTCCCCTACAGCAGCAAACAGCTCCTGTCCCCTTTGCACCCCCACCCCCAGGGTGAGGAGCTGGCCTGCACCCTCAACAGAGAACTGCTGGGGCAGCGAGCTGGTCCCTTCCTCCACAGGGCCCATCCCAGCCCCTCGGCCCTGGCGGACTCACCCGTGTAGTCAGCCAGCTGGACGCGCTGGGCCTGCTTGAGGATTCCCTGCAGCACCAGCTCCTCGTACAGAGAGTCCAGGGTCCTGGAGGGGGAGCGGGGATTAGGGGAGCCCGGCGCCTGGCTGTGCCCAGTTCCACCCACAGTCTGGGGGGCAGATTGGGTCAGTATTGCCACGAGAGCCAGGGAGAGCTGCAGCAAGGTGCAGAGGCTGGGGAAGCCCCGCCAGGGCCCATCCAGTCTAGCCCCGGACAGCACTGTTCCGAAGAGACAGAATAGCAGGGGTCTGACAGAAGCGTGTCGGGGAGCTGGGGGGCTCACCTAGGAAAGGGGAGCTGTGGGGAGCAGAAACTGGGTGTGTCCGGCCCACTGGAGTGCAGGAGGGGTCAAGGCACACAGAGGAGCTGGGGGTGTGTGACGAAGTGGGGCGTTTTCTTGGTTTTTCCTTGTTGTTTCCAACAGTTTGCATACAGAGGGGTTGGGACTCAGTTTCCCTGGGTGTTATTGGTTTAACGAGGGGATGGGAGAGGGGGTTTGTTGGTACAGAGGACCGGCGACGGAACTTGGAACCCCAGCGACTGGTGACCTGGTGACCGGGAGGCCCAGCTCAGGAGTCACAGCTGGTTTCAGCCAGTGGGAGGACAATGGGCTGTGGAGAGGGGACCCCGGTGACCTGACCAGGCAGTTCCAGCCAGAGGAGCCAGAGGACAGAGGAGAGGAGGGGGGCCCAGGCGACCCTGTTTACCTGGAGAGAAGACAATGGACAGAGGTGGGGCCTGGGAGCAGGTTATATCGGATGCCCATCTGGGAAGCAGGGGGGCTCTGGGCTGGAGAGAGGGAGCAGGCAGAGCCTACCTGGATGCAGGGGAGACTTGGATGTGCTGTGCTTGAGGGGGGCCAGGCCTGAGGGCGCTGAGAGTTTTCTGTGCTGTGTTCTGATGCTCAATAAACCCTCCTATTTTATGCTGGCTGAGAGTTACTCCAGTCTAGAGAACAGGGTTGCATTATTCCCTCTGGGAGTGGAGGCCCCAGGGGCCCAGAGCGAGTGGACTCCGTGAGGGGGCCCACAGCGAGAGACAGGCGTGCTAAGGCTCAGAGAGGTGCGGTTCCAGGAGGTCGAAGGGCTTAACCCCTGAGAGAGAGTGGACCCCCCGAGAAGGGGTGTGTCACTGAAGGGGGTTCCCCCCATGGACTGCATGGGGCCAAGAGTGGGCATGACCTGTGAGTCCATGACAATGTGGTAGCAGAGGATGGTTGGCGGATGCACCCTGTAGACGGTTGTCTGCGAGTGCAGGCGCTTTGCAGTGAGTGGCTGCCAGCAATAAAATGAGGGAATTGAAAGGAACCAGCATGGAAATGGCCTAGCTCCGTAAGAGGGACCTGGCACATCTGTGCAGGGAGAGAGGGCTGAGCATCAGGAAGCTCACTGAGGAATCATAGAATATCAGGGACCTCAGGAGGTCATCTAGTCCAACCCCCTGCTCAAAGCAGGACCAATCCCCAATTTTTGCCCCAGATCCCTAAATGGCCCCCTCAAGGATTGAACTCACAACCCTGGGTTTAGCAGGCCAATGCTCAAACCACTGAGCTATCCCTCCCCCCCAAAAATAAATCATAGAATATCACGGTTGGAAGAGACCTCAGGAAGTCATCTAGTTCAACCCCCTGCTTAAAGCAGGACCAATCCCCAATTTTTGCCCCAGATCCCAAATGGCCCCCTTAAGGATTGAACTCACAACCCTGGGTTTAGCAGGCTAGTGCTCAAACCACTGAGCTATCCCTCCCCCTTTTAAATGTGCTGTAAAGGAGCAGCTGATGGCTCAGCTTGTAAAGAATGACCAATCTGAGGAACAGGCTCCAGACCCCAGGGGGGCTCCCAAGGTGCCCGGACTGCCAGGGAGTAGCCATGGGGACAGTCCGTGTAGCAGCCGGGAGTCTCTCAGACCCGACTCCCCAGTCAGCACAGGGGGACCCCAGTCAGGTTCCTCCCTAGAGGAGTTGCAGAGACTGGAGCTGGAGCTGAAAGAGAAGGAGCTGGAGTTGGAGAAGCGGAGACTGGCGGACAGAGAGAGAGAACGAGAGGACCATGCAGAACAGCGGTAGCATGAGTTGGAGTTGGAGGAGCAGTGGGCCAAGAGGGCCTGCTGGGGGGTAAGTGGGGAAGGGCCCCGAGACGCCAGTGTTGTGGGGAATCTAGACACAAAACTGCTGCCCCAGTTTAAGGATGGGGGGGATACTGATGCCTATCTCACAGCCTTTGAGAAGGTGTGTGGTCTGAACCAGATTGACGCCGCAGACAGGCTCCACTGTCTGACCCCCCTGCTGGGTCCCAAGGCCATAGAGACATTCCCAGCCAAGTGGTTGGTATGGAGATGGGGGACTATGACCTGTTCAAACAGGCTTTGCTGCTGTTTGAGCTGACCCCCAAGGTGTACAGGAAACGATTCCAGGGTGTACACAAGACCTCAGGTGTCACTTACAAGGAGGTCGCCAACCTGCTGGGGGATATCTCCGCAAGTGGGGGAAGGGCGCAGGGGCCACTGCCGCAGAGGACGTGTATCACCTGGTGGGGTTGGAGCAGCTGTAGGACATCTGCCCTCCACACCTGAAGATGGGGTTAGTGGACCGGAAGCCCAAAGATCTGCGCAGTGTGGGGGCACTGACAAATGAGTTTGTGGACAGCAGATCGGGGGCAGGAGGGAGACCCCCACTGGGAACTCAGAAGGGGAGTCACCCAGATACCTCTCAAAGGTGGGACTTCAGGAAGCCCAACTCAGGGGTGCCTGGGAATGCCGGCGCGGGCCGACTCTCCTCGTGGGACTTGAGGGAGATTATTGTAATTACTGTGGCCAAAGGGACACAAGGTGGTGCAAGGCCTGAAGATGAAGGAAATGGCAGCCAAGCAGAACCTTCGGGGTGTCAACTAGGTAGAAGCACACCAAGAGGGGGCACCGCCGGTCCAGGGGGCTGCAGTCGATAGGGCTATGCCAGGGGGAAGGGACTGCCAGGCCAGACCAGCAGGGGAAGGTGGGGATCCAGGTGTGACGCAGCAGGGACTGAGTAGGGTGGATTGACCTAGGAATGTGGCAGGGGAATTTACTGGGACTGTCTGGATCGGTGATGAGATAGCAAGGGGTGACTTCACTGCCTGGGACGATACCTGAGCCTGTAACCTGAGCCAGGAGGGAGGTTGGGGTGAGGTGACACCTTCTGCCCAGGAAACTGGACAAAGTCTGGAGGAGGAGCTGTGGGGAGGCTTGGTGAGTCAGCTGGAGGGGGTTTCGTTTTTGGAGTGGGCTGGAGAAGAGAAGGGAGCCCCCAGAGCTGGGGACTAATCTCCCTGCCCCCCAGAAGGACCTGACTAAGGGGTCCTGTTTATGCCTGCAAGCTCTGGTCTGGACTGTGTTCCTGTTGTCTCTAAGAAACCTTCTGTTCTACTGGCTGGTTAGGAGTCACGGTGAATCGCAGGAAGTGGGGGTGTAGGGCCCTGACTCCCCTAATCTCCATGACAACTGGTGTCAGTGGTGGGATCTACTGCACCCCATGGACGGTGCTTCCTACAGTAAGTGACTGGGGAGCAGTAAAATGAAGGGGGATTGACAGGGACCAGGCATGCTGAAGATTCAGAGAGGAGCGGTTTCGGGGGGCGGAGGAGCTACCCTTAACCCCTGGGAGTGTGTGACCAGGGAGAAGGACTGCTGCAATAACGGGGTCCCCTTGGGCATTGCGGTGAGCAGTCTCAGGGGCGGAGGAGTCTGCAGCTTGTCCCTGGGAGAGAGGTGGTGACCTGGAGAAGGGCTGGCACAATAGGGTTTCCTCCTGGAAACCATGGGGAGCTGCGAGTACACAGGCCTGCGAGTGGCCAGCAGGAAGAGGTGCCTTAAGAGCAACCTAGTAGAGCTGTGCAGGCAGAGGGGGCTGCGCATTGGGTGGCTCACCAAAGAACAGCTGATTGCCCAGCTGGAAGAAAAGGATCGCTCAGATGCACCGATCCCTGCCTCTGAAGGAAGCAGCCCGGCAGATACAGCGCGGCCCCGGTGCTTGACCCGGCTGGGAGGGGTCATACTGCTGCCAAGAGCAACCCGAGACCCCCCTATCTATGCCTAGGGGAGGGCCTGGGAGGAGCCCAGTGAATACCGAGGGCACCCTGACCCCGGCAGCCAGCAGGGGATCCTCCCGGCGGAGCTCCCCATCCCTGGAGCTGAGGCGACTGGAATGGGAAAGAGAGATAAAATTGAGAGAGCTGGAGGATCACGAAAAAGAGCGAAAGGATCATGAAAGGCAGCGTCAGCATGAACTGGAGTTGGCAAGGCTGAGGAGCAGCAAGGCCCTGGCTGTGTTGAGTGAGGAGGGATCCAAGACTGCAAGGAGCTTTGATAAGTGCCTCCTGGCCCAGCGTAAGGAGGGGGAGGACATAGATGACTTTCCTGACGGCCTTTCAGAACGCCTGCTAGATGCACAGCGTTGACCCTGCAGACAGGCTCCAGTTTCTCACCCCCTTACTGGACCCCAAAGGCGTGGAGGTGTACAGCCGAATAAAAGGGGTGGAGGCAGGGGACTATGAACTATTCAAAAAGGCCCTGCTCCGCGAGTTTGGGCTGACTCCCGAGATGTACCGGAGAAGGTTCAGGAGTCAGCGTAAAGCCCCTGAGGGCGCATATTTACAGCTGGCCCTCCGGATGCAGGGATATGCCCACAAGTGGGCAGATGGGGCCCAAACTAAGGAGGACCTGCTCGACCTATTTGTACTGGAGCAACTGTATGAACAGTACCCTTCCCACATGAGGCTATGGTTGGTGGACAAAAAGCCAGAGAACCCGCAGCACGCAGGGCAGCTGGCCGACGAGTTTGTGAACAGTCGGTCAGGGGGTAGCAGGGAGGAGTCCCAAAAGAACAGGCCGGCCATGATGCAGAGAGAGAATCACCACAGGACCTCCCAAAGGGGGAACATGGAGAACCCCCTCCCAAGGGGAACGCCTGGCGTCGGGACCCTCCAACCTGCTCAAGGGGACCAACGTGACCTGAGCTGCTATCACTGTGGCCAGAGAGGCCACGTACAGACCCAGTGCCCCAGGCTCAGGGACA